GACTACATTCTGTTGGAGCATTTCTTCCAAAAGGTTCATGTGCTTCTGCCTTCTCCTCCTCCCTTGGCAGTGAAGTCGCAAAAAAAAAAAAAAAAAAAAAAAACGACAACAGGTGGGAATTGAAAAAAATTCTACCTTGTAGTCATTCTGAATTATGTCTAGAATTAATGCATTCTGGGTAGTCTGTAGACATTGTGTGGAAGCATCCCAGCCTTCCTCCCACCTGGCTCCACCAGTCATTTGGATTGGGTTTATCCTGGTCGGGGTTGAAGAGAAAACATTTCTTTGCAAACCTGCCTCTCTTCTGGCCTTGGAATTTAGCTTCTTTAGTGGAGCGCTGCCTCAAGAAAATATTTTCGTCCTGTTTGCCTATTGGGAACAGGGAAGCCCTTCTTTTTAATCAGTGGATCTCTTGAGGACCAAAGGGAACTCTACACCGAAGAGGAGCTTTCCCTCAAAGGGCAGGCTGCACAGTCTGGATTTGGAAGCTATGTCCCCCTGCCAAGACTTCAGCCAAATTGCTCTGCTTGCGGAGTTTAAAAGCACAGTTGATTTTGCTGTATATTTAAATGGTTTCAGGTGATAAATCTGCAATGAAGGCCACTGCCAAAACCGGTAGTGATCTGATCATTTCATACTCCGACGTACCTTGTTCCAGGTGAGAACGGAGCTGACCTAACCATACATTCAGGAATCACAAGTTGTTGCTACTGCTGGTTTAAAGTTTACTGCGGGTGCTTACCATGCTCTTCTGAGGAATGTGTCGGCTTTTCAGTCCATCAGGTCCTTTAGGGAGCCCCCATCTTCAAATTATAAATCCGCGCTTCTTGAAATTTTTGAAAGGGGAGTATCCAGTTTTAGGCAGGATTCCCATAGTGATGCATCTGATAAACATTAATTCCAAATTCATAATGCGGCACTTCTATTGATGGCAAGCTTGCAAAATATTTGCTTTTTATGATTAATCATAATTAATATTAAAATGTGTGATTGGCCTTCAACAAATGACAGTGTTAAATTCTTCAGTTATAGCCGAGACAGAAAAATATGTTTGAAGCGAAGTAACTAGCTGAAAGCTGAGTATTCTATAGAAGGGCATAGCTGGTTAAAGGACTCTAGTGTAGAATGTCATGGGAGTCACTGTTTTTGGTAGAAATTATATTTCTACATGGCAAATAATTTACTAGCAGGTGTAGTAGAGTAATAGAAATCCAACAGACCCAACAGTCATGACATGCATGCTGCTGATTCTGTGTAATTGAAAGGGGCATGTTCAAAATAATAGTGTGGCATTCTATTAGTGAGGTCATTCATTCTTTGAAAAACAGGTGGCAATTATTGCCCTTATTTAAGGAAGGAAGGCAGCAAATGTTGTACATGCTGGTTACAGTGCATTTCTCTCTAAAATTCTGAGGAAAATGGGTCGTTCCAGACATTGTTCAGAAGAACAGTGTACCTTGATTAAAAAGTTGATTGGAGAGGGGAAAACATATAAAGAAGTGCAGAAAATGATAGGCTGCTCAGATAAAATGATCGCAAATGCTTTAAAATGGCAACCAAAACCTGAAAGACGTGGAAGAAAGCGAAAAACTACCATTCGAATGGATAGAAGGATAGCCAAAATGGCAAGGACTCAGCCAACAATCAGCTCCAGGAAGATCAAAGAAGGTCTAAAGTTACCTGTGAGTACTGTTACAATTAGAAGACGCCTATGTGAAGCCAAGCTATCTGCAAAAAGCCCCCGCAAAGTCCCACTGTTGAAAAAAAGACATGTACTGAAGAGGTTACAATTTGCCAAAGAGCACATTGACTGGCCTAAAGAGAAATGGCGCAACATTTTGTGGACTGATGAAAGTAAGATTGTTCTTTTTGGGTCTAGTGGCCGGAGACAGTTTGTCAGACGACCCCCAAACACCGAATTCAAGCCACAGTTCACTGTGAAGACAGTGAAGCATGGTTGCGCAAGCATCATGATATGGGGATGTTTCTCATACTACGGTGTTGGGTCTATTTATCGCATACCAGGGATCATGGATCAGTTTGATTGAATACATCAGAATACTTGAAGAGGTCATGCTGCCTTATGCTGAAGAGGAAATGCCCTTGAAATGGGTGTTCCAACAAGACAACGACCCCAAACACACCAGTAAACGTGCAACATCTTGGTTCCAGACCAACAAGATTGACGTTATGGAGTGGCCAGCCCAATCCCCGGATCTTAATCCAATAGAAAACTTGTGGGGTGACATCAAAAATGCAGTTTCTGAGGCAAAACCAAGAAATAGAGAGAAGAACTGTGGAATGTAGTCCAATCATCCTGGGCTGGAATACCTGTTCACAGGTGCCAGAAGTTGGTTGACTCCATGCAACACAGATGTACAGCAGTTCTCAGAAACAGTGCTTATACAACTAAATATTAATTAAGTGATTCAAAGGAAAGCAAAATCTTCAAACATTTTTTCAGTTTATATAGTGAATGTTTGAGTTTGTAAAGAAGAATACAAACACTGCTATTTTTTGAACAGTCTAATATTCACTTTTCTTCAATTTAGTTTAGAGGAAAAACACAAATTTGATATATTTTTCTTTGTTTTGATTTGGAATAGAATGTGTAGTGTTCCCAATGCATTTGTGTGTATGGAAATAAAAGCTATTAGAAGGATTTTGAGCTTTATTCACTTTTTTCAACACACTGCTATTATTTTGAACACAACTGTATGTAGTGTCCCCTCCCTTCAATGAAATTGCTCTAAGCAGTATTGTTTGCCATACAAGGTTCTAAGATCACAAATTATGACGTATACAAGCATCATAAAAATGCATCCCAAGAGATGCGAAAGGCGACACACACACACACACACAAAGATGCTATGAAACTCACAATATAAGTAGTTTAGATAGTAAATAGCAGCTTAGAGGGAGGGATTGCCCATATAAGCGCAGGAGGAGTTTTCCCAGATTATTTATAAAGATTCTATGGTTATTCACAGAACTGACAGACTGGAACAGGTGCATTCTCTAAGACAAGAACTCGTCACTTCCGTCTTCTTGCTAAAGACTCAGGACAAGAAGAACCACATGGAACAGCACATGAGACAACGGCCATGAAAATAAGGATGACACATCTTTATAACTTCTGTTTTGATATTTCTGTTTTACCTACACAGAACTGTTCATGATACATTTTACATTGTTATTTCAAGCCATTGTGTGATAAAATAAAAATCACACTTTATTTTTTACTTCGCCGGCTCTTTAATTATATGCAAATCGCCTAGACACTAAAGAATTATTATATGTGTCTCAGAAAATTCTACAGCATCTTTAAATGGAAATTGCCTTTTTAGATTTTGAAGGAAAAAAGCTTTCCTTTCTGGCTCTTTCCATTCTCTTTTTATGGTAGTCCATAGTCTGGAATGGACTGGAAACGTGTGGCCACTTTTCTTTTGTAGCCCTGAATATAGCAGATTGTGCAATGAGAGATCCGGTTGTTCTTCCAGGTCCAGAGTGTCATAAATTACTTTTAAAAGGCCCTACATATCTTATCATAAAGATACCGAGGTGCTGGGTTGAGGTTCATGTGGGGACAGCTCTTGCATTTGTTCCCTAAAATTCTGAAAGGTTTTGGACATTTCCTGTCATGGATTGTAGGAAATCTTTACAGAGGGACCCTGATTCTTTTCTAACCAGCTTGTCAATACATTTCTGGCACAGCTGCTTTCTACAAGAACTACAAAGTCTTTTCTTGCAGGTTGTACATTTCCTTTTTTTATCTCACATGGAGTCTCCTTCTCCTGTCTTTCCTCATGTGAGCTCATCCAAGAACAGGGAGAGAAAGAATACAGACCCCCCTGTAAGCCAAGGGCTTCTACTAAGAAGCCACCCGGAAGTGCCACCTGGAAAAAAGCCCTTGGGGTGTAAAAGAATGTAGACCCCCTACCAAGAGACAGCATAGAGCAGAGAGCATATGCATATATAACCCATTAAAAAAAAAAAAAAAAAAAAAAAAAAAAAAAAAAGGGGGGGGGGGGGGGGCCCTGCCAACCACCCGGCTCTTACTTTGATGCTGGCATCCTCCAGTTCTGACAGTTCCATCCTGGCAGCCTTTTTGCCCTCGGCTCTGATTGTAGGGTAACTGGGCCCCGTCCCCTCCCTGGGTCCAGTCGCGCTGATCTCCCCCCCATCGCCGTAGTGGATCCAGGAGATGGCCATGGCGTGGGGTGAGCTTTTACTGTCTCCGGGCGCCCGGAAGTGACATCATCGCTTGTCCCAGAAGTGATGCTCCCTTCGGCCCCCTGCCTGCTCTGGCATCCAGACGTGACATTACCGCACCCAGCCACATCGATCCGAAAATGTTCGTGTCCTGCTGCCAAGGAAGGTATGGTACTCGCCCAACAGGGTTGCGGACCCCTGGTTCCCCAGGTCAACTTGCAGGTTCCTCCTCCCCCTGATGAGCCTGTCCAGGACCATTTTAGGCACAAGAAGAGGTGCTGTCTCCCCCAACTCTGCGTTTTATTCAGAAGGAATGCCAAGGGAGCCCTGAATTAAGCCACCCCACAAGGTCCCTGCCTTGCTTAGTGAAGAAGGACTCATCCAGGAGGCCTCTGTACCCCACCAAACAGCCTATGTAAAATAACAAACGGGGGTAGTTTCAGTCGTGGCCATAGGAAACACCAATACTGAGGACCCCAGTGATGGAGAGGCTATTTATTAAAGAAAAGTGGATCAAGTGTTTTCTAGTAGGAGGAGCCCATTTCTCATATGAAGCAGTCTTGGAAGATGACTTAGGAAAAATATCTTTTAAAAAAAAAAAAAAAAAAGAGAAAAGAAGAAGAAAGAAAATTAATACAGCCAATGGCTAAAGACTGGTGCACTGCAATATATTATTTTGTCTGTTTTGGGTTTAATACTCCTTTAAGCCACAAAAACCAGGCACTTAAAAACACACATTTCCATTGTTGCTAAAAGCAGTATAATCTAACTTTATAAAGCCAGCTCACCTGCAATAAATCGTGGGTCATGTGTCCAACCAGAGGGAAAATCAGCATGCTTGCACAAGTAACTGCCTTGTAAGTATCCATTATAACAACAGAAAATAAATGCAAGAGCAAAGGGAACAAGCGGCGTAGGCTTTCCTCCGCGTATCAGAAATGGAAAAATGAGTGTCCTGTGGAAACATGATTAGACATGTAAATCCTTCAACATCTGCTGTCCTGTAAAGCTTTTATGCCTTTAGCTTCAAGCCTATTTTTTCTAAATAGCTAGAAAGGACTGCAAACATATCTTATAGTATGTACATATTTATGCAGTTTATACCAACAGAGGAAAATTGCATCTTTATTTAGCCTATAAGAATAATAATATCCAAGTATGAGAAATATGATCATAATTAGAAGTAATAGATCAATTAAAAATGTCATGTTAGTCTTACCTATAAAAAAAAAAAAAGAAGGTATTTCTACAAATCTTCCAGGACAACCTTAGAGATAATTGATTTTATACCAACAGAGGAAACAAGGGACTTTGAAAATGTGTTATTACACGAAACGCGTTAGAGAGATACCCTTTCTCATGGAACACTAACCACATGACCTACTATCTACCTCAGATGTAAGTGCTGGTTCTTCTCTTTTACCTGTACCTTGATGTTACTTTTTTGTGATTATTAAACATACTACACTATTGGAGTTCTTTCTCTCTGGGCTCATTTTTTTGGCACTGAGAGTCCTTATCCTGAAGGAACCTTTCTGGATTCCCATCTGAATGCATGATCCACCTGATGGCTGGAAATTGTACTGCTGGACGCAGTTAACCTAAGATGTGGAAACCTGCTCTGGATAGATGATAGCTGGTGAAGCATCCCCACCTGATGACCACATCCGCATGCAGAGTTCCCACCCCCAGAGTACAAAGGAGTAGGTCTTATATACTCCAATGCACATTAATCTGTGCTATCTGGTTAGTGCATAGTATGCTCATTGTTTCCAGCCACAGCAGTCACGAAAGTTAATCGTTGCTCATTGTGTCACCACAGTCACATTACTTCGCATGAACTATATCCAATAAGTTTTGTTACTGTGAGATACCATTTGTGTACTGTTAATACTATATAGCGCCGCATTTGTACTATTATTCTTGGCATTTCTTGGAGGATTTGAGGTTGTTTCCTCTTCTATGCTGGCTGCTCCCATCTGTGTTTTTTCCTGCTATCACCCAGCGCTCATATGTTTATTGTTTATATAATTCTATTAGTATAGTTTGGTACTAACATAATTTAAAATGTTGTTGCACTAGTTTTAACCTTCCTGCTCTCTGTTCCAATTGCCATTTTTCATTCTAGAAGTGTGCAGTTGAAATAAGAGGCAGACTGATGTTGACAACTATTGCATAAACCTAATACAACAGACATGAATTTAGAGAGAGTCGATATAAGACACCCACAAAGGTTCTCACTTGCCTCTTCCAATGTTTAGGTGCTCACTGCATAAATCTCATTCAGTGCCTGCACAACACTTCTTTTTTGATGTGAATGAAGCTGCACTTCTAGAGTGCAGACAGCAGGCAGCCTATTTATAACGGAGAGCAGAAAGTGCCATCTGTTCTCATTCTTCACAGTACTACTGCAAACTGCAGCCTGCATTTTATGAATGCATGCAGCCTGTAGTATTCTTTGATAGTGAGAGAGCTGACAACCATCAGTCACATGACTTCTCTCCCCTTCTAGACTTTTTAATCAGTGGGAAATCTGAGTCAGGGATGACGTGCCCAATCTTGATGAAAACCAGAGTTAGACTTACTGGTAACTCGTTTTCTAGAAGTCTTCCAGGACAGCCCCTTAAGATGTTGAGCTCCTCCCTCTGGGACAGGAAACACGCAAGCCCAGAACTTTAACAGGCGGACCTCCAGGCCTCCCTCTTCAGTGTTCCCAAGAACCACTGGAAGGCACTTAAAGACATAACCATTTATGCATAAACCATGTAATTTTAATATAACCATTTATGCATAAACATACATTACTGTAGAATACTAGGGTGGGAAATCTCGGCTGCCCTGGAAGAGTTAAAGAAAATGAGTTACCGGTAAGTCTAACTCTGGTTTTCTCAAAACCGTCTTCCAGGACAGCCCCTTGAGACAGTAATCAAGAAATTACCCTGTAGGGCTGGGCTACTGCCTGGAGGTCTTTGTGCCCAAACGCCTGATCCTCACTAGAAAGGAGATCCAGGCGATGTTTCACAAAAGGTAGAAAAACTGGACCAATTGGCCACCTTACAAACCTGTTCTGGTGAGACACCAACTCTCTGCCCAGGATGCAGACAAGGATCTGGTTGAGTGTGCATTAACAAATGGGGGCGGAATCTCTAATAAATTATACGATTCTGTGATAGCCATCCTAATCCATCTAGCTATGGTGGATTTGGAGGCATTGAAACCCTTCCGCGCTCCCACGAAAAGAACAAAAAGAGAATCTGATTTTCTGAACTCTCTAGACCTACTAAGATAGATGTTAGAAGGAGACTTTTGGCCTAACAATTTTTCTTTTTCCTTGCTTGCAGGAGCAGAACAGAAGGGTGACAAAATGATATCTTGGGACCTATGAAAGGAGGAAATTTTGGGAAGAATCCCAGGATCCGTTTTGAGAACAAGTCTATCCTCATAAAAAACTGACAAAAAGGGCTCCCTAATGGAAAGAACCTGCAATTCACTAACCCTATGGGCCGATGTGACTGCTACCAAAAATACGGTCTTTAGAGTTAAAAAAAAAAACTTTATTGAAGACTTGTGCAGAGGTTCAAAAGGGACAAAGGACCAAAGCTTTAAAGGACTAAAAGACAGATCCCAAACTGGGCAGGACTTGACCACCACCGACCTGAACTTAGAAAGGGCCCTGGAAAAGTCCTGCTTGAGGGGGACCTGAAAGAAAACACTAAGAGCCGAGGCCTGCACCTTTAACGTACTAACCGAAAGGCTCTGATTTGCCCCATCCTGGAAGAAATTTAAGACTGCTGGGATATCCGGAGGGCTCTGACCCTATTCGACAACCAGGAGTTGAATTTTTTCCAGACCTTAGTATAAATAGCTTTGGTTACTGGCTTGTGGCAGTTAACCAAAGTCCTCACTACCCTGTCCGAAAACCCCTGAGCTTTCAGGAGTTGTTCTTCAGTAGCCACGCTGCCAACCTCAAAGTCTTTACCTGAGGGTGCAGCACTGGACCCAGAGAGCCCAGATCTTCACGCTCTGGGAGAGGGAATGGAGGAACTGAGGCAAGGCTCCACAGCAGAGAGAACTATGGTCAATTCAGCCAAAACGGGGCCACCAGAATGAGGTTTTTTCCTTTCTGACAAAATTTTGCAAGACTGCTGGGATCAGCCTCATTGGAGGAAACTCATAACAGAGACTGAATTCTCACACATTTGAGAGGGCATCTACACCCAAGGCCCGATCCCGCAGATTCAGGGAGAAGAACCGCCTGACCTTCCTGTTTTCTTGGGAAGAAAAGAGATCCGCCTCTGGCACGATCCATTTCATAGTGATGGTCGCAAACACTTCCTGGTTGAGAGACCATTTGTCCTGCTTGACCGGATGCCGATTTAGGAAGTCCACTAGGGAATTCTGTGCTCCTTTCAGATGGATGGCATATATTAAACAAAAGTTTTGCTCGGCCAAAAACAGTATACTCTATGCGATTGCTTGGAGAGGAGGGCTTCATGTACCCCCGTTTGTTGATGTATGGACGCTGACTCCTCTCTGAAATGGAGGGATCACGCCAGGCAAGGAGGAGGTACTTACCTAGACAGGAGCCACAAGCACCACTCTTGAACCTAGGGCTCCTATACAGGTTCCTAAAGGTGTAACCTATCCTTCTGGAGGAAACACAAATACTGAAGAGGGAGGCCTGGTGGTCTGCCTTTTAAGGTTCTGGGCTTACATGTTTCCTGTCCCGGAGGGAGGAGCTCAACGTCTCTCAGGGGCTGTCCTGGAAGACATTTTTGAGAAATTAACCTCACATCAGAGGCCCCCATCACAGAGGCCGAGGCAACTCATTACATCAGAGTCCCTCTAAAAAAATCCCCTCAATAACATCAGAGCACCCCCATAACAGAGTCCTTAACACATACAGTACATAAATGCATACCTCAGGTGCAGCTACGTGCAATGCTACAAACACTGTTTGTGCAACACATTAAATATCATTGTGCACACTGAAGTGCGAGCAGTAGTTCTAGTGTCATTATTCACAATTAACTCTACACGGATGAAACATTCAACATGTACAGGCCTAGTTTACCTGCCATGTACATGAACATGCTGTACATGAACAATTCCCTGTGGGAACTGTAGTTTCCTTTTACTGCAGAGAGAGAGGACAATATATGATGTAATCCCGGCTGGTACATCTCCTCCTTGGCAAAGCAGAGGCGGTTATCTTTTGAATTATAGAGATGAGTTCATGAAAGTTCAATTAGACTTTTCTCCTAAATAGTAAGGATTTTCTTATTAAATCTTATTAACTGTTTAGTGTAGAAAGGTGTACCATTCAGTGTTTGTTTGCCTATCCCGGAGTGCTTCTTTAAAGTATTAAGCCCCTTTCACACAGGGCAGACTCCATTTATAATCATCAGGGGATCTCTCTGCTGATCAGAGCAGACAGATGAAAGGTCTGGGTCTGCTCAGATTATGCAGCATGGACAGAGATGGCTCTCCTACTTGGGAGGCCAGATGTAAAGGAACTCCATTGTCTGTTTACACCCAACTATTGTCCAATCTACTCTGCCCAAACTGCAGAGGAGAGATCCCCTTTGGATTTGTTTATTGGACTGAATCTGACCTGGAGGTAGGCGGGTGTAAGTGGACATAAGTCTGTTTATAAATGGACCTTCTGATTGGGTCCGCCTAAAAAGCCGAAAGACACATCTGATCGGAAAAGCTGTGTAAAAGCTGTCCAATTAACTAGTTGCCGACCGCAGATAGCCGAATGACGGCTGCACTGCAGCCAGCCAGTTCTGAGTGGACGTCATATGACGTCCTCCCAGAACGCGCTCTCCTACCCGGCGATCTCCGTGATCGCTGTGTCCTACGGACACCGCTGATCATGTGATGTAGTAAAAGGCCAATCACAGCGGCCTTTTACCACGTGATCAGCGGTGTCCAATGACACGCTGATCAGAG